CCCCCCCATTTGCTCCTCTCCTTGAAAAGCAAAAGAAAAACTCCCTCATTGGTACACAATCCCCTCCCCGCACCTCCCCAAACCCCACACCCTAGCCCCAAATATAATCCACTCTACAACCCTCATTGCATACTCCTACGATAAAAATAATGCCCTAAAATATAATACTTTTAGACTATTCTCTCCCCCATAGACTTCCACTTGCTTTTTGTTGTCGTTGTTGGTTGGTTGGTTGGTTGGTTGTTTTGGTGGGGGGTTTCTTTTCTTTTCTTTTTTCTTTTCTCTTTTTTTGCTTTTGTCGATGGACCTTAACCTTACAATTTAAATATGAAATCAGTGTATGGCTGATTAGGAGTAGAGGTTGATTCTTAGCTCCGTTTTATTCTTGTTTCTATCTAAATCTTCAAATGACATTAAAATGGCAATGAGCACTGCTTGTAGTCTGCAGGGAGTTGTGTTACTAATGTGAATGTGGCATCTCTGTTGTTGTTGTTATTGTTGTTGTGTACCGCTGAGTTGGAACCAACCCATAGCTGACTACCAAGTGGGTTTTCAGAGGCAGCTAATCACATGGGAGGAGAATGTCCATCCTTCTCCTTTGGGGCAGAGGATGGCATCGAACCACATGCCTTGGGATTGCAGTGGAGCTTCTTGTCACTAGGCCACCAGAGCTCCCCGTGACACTTCTAGGGCAATTCAAATCCATGGGCAGCTCCATGGGAACAAGATGGACAATCTCCTGTATAATTTACAGCCTCTGAAAATTGGCAATAAATTAATGAGCAAGTGAAACTTACCCAAAGAATCAGGCATTATTTCATCTGGAGAATGAAGTGTCTGTGACAACTCTTCCGTCCTTTCTACCAGATTGTCTCCTTGAAGTCTAAATAATTAAAAAAATAAAGAAAGGCTGAAATCTTATGAATACTGACATACAATATGAACTATATAACGTTTTTGAAAGGACTACGAGACTTGAAAGTATCAGACATGCATTATCAAAGCAGAAATGGAACTTTACAAAATACATTTGCTGTGTTTTTGCTGTTTAACCTATACGAAAAAGTGTTCTGTCTTTTCTCCTACATACACAGAAGACTGTTCTAAGTAGAATCGATTTTTCTTTTAAGTATGAGTGGATGAGGATTGGATGTAAATGTTGTACTTAAAATTACATTGGAGACCTGGGAAGAGTGAAAGCCATGGCCTAATAGAGTGCTCCCTGAAACTCTAGATTCATGAGAGGGTTTTCGGGATTTCACAGACAAATATCAAACATAATTCTACATAACACAAGCATTAATCAATCTGCGCTTAATTGCATCTATGTTAAGATAAATCTCAAGAGTGGACATGAAGGTTCCTACCGTGACTGCCAAGGATGTCATAAAAAGTGTTCTTTAGGGGTGTGCTAGTAATCTTGAACAATATACTGCAGATCCTCTGTGTCCTCCCTTCATAATCAGAAAAGTTGACCAGCAATATCAAATTCAAGTAGTCTGGGCTCATATTACCCTTTTAAACTGCATTAGTTATGAAGGTGGATCTCAGCAATACATTTTGTGAGCGCTACCTTAAAAATAGCATAATAAAAGATTATTCTGCTAACTTTAGAGGAAAGTATATTTATCAAAAGAGCCACAGACTGGATATTACGATGCCCTCTCTTTTCTTCCCTGTATTTAGCTAATAAGCAAGTATCTTAATAAAATAGTGTTTATATGTTGCTCTTGTATAAAGTCAAGTCGGAACTGATCCACAGCTGACCCTCTGGGTGGGTGTTTTGAGGCAGTTAATCCTTTCAGACGAGATTGCCCATCCTTCTCCTACGGAGCAGCTGGTGGCAACGAACCCTGTGCCTTTGGGATTGCAGTGTAGCTTCTTGCCACTAGGCCACACACTCATAATAAATTACATTAAATTTAAAAATATATTCAAATGTAATTCATCACTGTACCAGGCTCAAAAATTATATAAAATATATGCTTATAAAATATGCAAATATTACTTTGGAATATTGCAGAACGTTTCAACTGGTTTTTACAAATTCAAGTATATATGCACATTTAAAAAATATTTTATGCTATCATAAATGTTGTTCAATTCATTCAAATACTTATTTTCTGTATATCTCTGTACATATTATATATTTATGTACATGTATAACTTTATACACACAAATGTATAATTATTCTTTTGTATAAGCTCGCTGAAAATTTTTCAGTGTTCATTTCCTAACAGGAATAACACATTGTAGTCAAGTGTTCTAGTTTAATAGTTTTAGAATTTTACTTTAGTGAAATACACTTCTAAATTATTTAATTCCCAACATCTCAAATCTTTTCTACTCTGTCTTGTCATATTTATGCTCATCTTTGTTATTTCTTTCTAATGATTAGGAGCATCAGTCCAACAAAAAAGGTATCAATTTTTCTTTTTTTTAGTTTTATTTGTCTAGAACCATTCTGCCAAAACAGAGAGAAACTGTGTAAATGTATTATTGTTGTTTTTGTTGTTTGGTGCTATTGAGTCAAGTACAATTCATAGCAACCCTGTGGACAAGAGATCTGCATATCAGGTACTGCCTAATTGTAGTAATAATTACAACTAACTATGAAAACTTTGCCATTAGCTCCAACACATTTTGTATATTTAACATTGGGCTAGAAATCTAAATGGAAAATAAATCTCCAAAACATAGGGGTGGGACTGGGAAGAAGTGCTTTAATAATCTTTTTGCTCATTGTATGCCTCAAGAAAAGGAATGGACAGACAATAACCACTGCATTGTAACAGATGAAAGAAAGAACTATCTAAAATGAATATACAGTCATTATATATACAACAACAGCGCAGAAAAAGAGGTATATCACTGTAAAGTGGACAGGGGGAGGGGAAGAAAGGTAATTGTGCAACAGTGAATGAATATTTAAAATAAAAAAGTGAACGGGGAGAGAGGGAAAAGAGGGGGAGGGGTAAAATGTGCAATAATAAATGAATAAAAATCTAACTTCTCTGTGAATGTCCATTAAAATCATGATCAAAAATAAAATTATATTTAAAATAAAGAAGCTAGGTTCAACAAGAAAGAGAGAGAGCCTTTTAAATGGATCAAAATAAAAACAAAACACTCAAAAAAAAAGACAATGAAAACACTTATTTAGATGGTCGATAATAAACCAAATGTAGAAATACAAGAAAATTATGACTGTGACTAATCTTAACAGAACCCTCAATCTGTTGCATTGAGAAGACAATCATGGAAACAATACAGTATGTTATGTGGCCTTCTAGATGCCATGAAGCCAGTTCGCCTTTGTCCACACTCTGTGTTCTGTACCTTTAAGAGTTGAGTATGCCTTGACTTGGCAAGATTTCAGGGAGACTGCTTCACACCCCTGCTCTCCCTGAGTGCTCTGCCAATGTTCCCAAACCCTAATCCACATAGCACTATTTCTGGAAGAGGTTAATAGGCACTGTGCAAATAGGGGTTGTGTGAGCAAGTCCGGGAAATAGTGTTAATAAAAGTTAAATCCTTTAAAAAAATACAAGTGTTTCATTCCTATTCCTACTTCCACACCTTTTCTCTTTACTTTCTAAAATCGCTTTCATAATAAACCAACTCTCCTGCATTTTTAGCCCCTAGACAGAACACCTCTTGGTCCTGTTTCTAATTGAAGCGCTGATCTCTTTGTAAAAGGATCATGTTGGCTACTGCACTGACCATTGCTCTAGGGAGGCAAGCACAAAAGTGAGGAGCTGTTTAGGAGGTTATTACTTATGCAGATGACACAACCTTGCACACTGAAACTGAGGAAAACATGAAGTACCTTTTGCAGAAATTCAAGGACTGCATTTTTCAATATATTGAAGCTCAACATCAAGAAAACAAAGATCTCCCCCACTAGGCCAACTGGCAGCATCATGCCAGATGGAGATGAGATTGAAAACAACAATTTAAGCTAGCTAGGGTCCACAATCAACACTCTTGAACCAAGCAGCCAGGAAACCAAAAGACGAACTGAATTAGGAAAGTCTGCTGTCAGGGACCTCTCCAGAGTGCTGAAGTGCAAAGATGTCAGTCTAGAAACTAAGGTGCGCCTGATCCAAGCCATGGTCTTCACAATTAATTGCTCTGCATCAGAGACCTGGACAAAGCATAAGGATGGCAGAAGAAGTACTGATGTCTTTATGTTGTGGTTCTGGAGAAGAGTACTGAACACACCATGAACTGCCAAGATGACAAACAGGTCTGTTCTGGAGAGGGTGAAATCAAGTTTCTCCTTGGAGGCAAGGAGTCTGAAGCTCTGTCTCAGACATTTTGGGCATGTTGTGAGAAGAGACCAGTCCTTGGAGAGAGGCATCATGAGTGGAAGGAGGGAGGAGCAATGCAAAAGAGGAAGACCCTGAATAAGATGGATTTACACAGTGACTAGGGTACTAGCGTCAGATGTGTGAGATACAGTGAGATTGGACCAGGATAAGACAGAGTTTAGAGCTACTGTACACAGGGTGACGATGAGTCAAAGTCAACTCAATGGCACATAATAACAGCAAGAAAGGAATGTGGAGTCCCTGGTTAAAACATTCTGTTGCAAATCTAAACAGTGGAAGTTCTAGTCTACCTCGTGGTATTTCAGGAAAAATGTTCTTGCTATTTATTTTGAAAAATAACTCACAATCGAAAACCCTATGAAATTGACTTGACAGTAACTGGCCAAGTTGGATAGTTCGTGACTTATTAAATTTAAAAGGACTTTTAGACATCAAGGTAGAAAATTAGGAAGAACTTGTTCACTCACTATTTGAAGATATTTATCAGGCTGTCTGAAGAGATAGTTACCCTATCTGGGCTCCAAAATTTCTACAAAGAACAACAGAATATGATATACTACTCTAACCCAGGTATTTTGAAAATCCTGTTCTGCAAAATAAATAGAACACTGAAAAGTAAATTAGATCAGGGAAGCCACAAGAGGCAATTCTGTTTTTAAGAAATTTTGGACCATTTTCTTCAAAGAGCTAGAAAATGAACTTATCTTTCTGCCCCAAATCTGCTTTTAATTCACAAAGCTCCTTTATAACATCAGCCATCGAGTTATTGCTGAGGCTCTTCAAGTGTTCATTTTCCATTTTAGGATAACGGTATGTTTCTCCATGTTTATTTTTAAGGGAAATTGTAACAGCTTGTCACTCACTCAATTCTGAAGTCTTAAAAAAGTAAAAATTGTCATCAACATAAAACTTTACTGAAGACCTTCAAAGTCAAAAGCATCTGTTGATCAAGAGAACCTATAATTTGTAGTAAGACATGAGTGTGTTTGCATGGTATTTAAGATACTCTACAAACTACCCAGAAATGCAGTCCAGGCCCAGTACACTCCAGCTCTTCAGGACCCCACATATGAATTCATTATTATGCCCATAGAATAACTGCAAAAATTGGCTGAGAGTGTGCTCAACTCATTTTGCTGCTGCTGTTTCTTTGCTGCTCCTTTTTATCATCCCTCTGGTGGTGGTGTGTACCATGGAGATTCTCCAGCACACTTTCAGAGATAGTTACTTGCATGGGAGGAGACTGTTCGTTCATCCTTCTCAGAGGAGCAACTGGTGGCCTCAAACAGTGTGCCTTCAGGATTGTATCGCACCTTCTTGCCACTGGACCTCCAGAGCTCCCCTCCTCTGGTGTTATAGTTTTCTATTTCCTATGTCAAAGAGTTTCAGCACAGGGATACTGAGTCCAAAAGAACAGTTTTCTTGTCAGTGGTTGAGATCCTTCTCTCAGATTCCCCCCTTTTGTCCCTGAGATGGTTCATGTTACGTTTAGTGGGATGACAAAACTGAGCTTATTTGTCTGATGCCTTCTCTAAAGAAGGGAGCTTG